ATCCTTAGGATGCCATCCCAAGCATGGGTAAACTGGACTGAAGCAGGGGCAAATATGTGGCTCATTGCAAAAACATGACATGTGCCTACAATGGATGACATTCCCTCTGCTACAACTTGATGGATCTTCCTTGTTCCGGGGATAGATTTCAAGGGTTGCACAAGGAGATTGTCATATGTCTTTAAGTTATCACTGGTGACAAGTTGAAGTTTATGCCACGTAGGCTGTTGGAGACCTTGTCATAAAAGTCTTGTCATCAACGATGTCTGACCTCTAAGAACTATACTGTCAGCACATCTCTTCACTGTTGCCCAATGCCATCAGGGGCACCCTTGCCATGTGACGTTGGAAAAAATTCCAAGTTGCATTCTTGAATCCAAGCCGGGGAGGGACAGCACAGAGGAGGAGAAAGTTCTTTTTGTTTTTATACTGTTTGCTTGGACCATCTGACCAAAGTGTACTGTCTCAACATTTGGAACTCTTGCATGAATATCTGTCAGGATTTGATGCATATGTGTCCAAATGGCTGCAGCATCCTGGCGCTTGGACTGAGAGATGGTGCAGAATCCTGCCTTTTCATGCTTGGTGTGGAACATGCCCGTATGAAGTGTGATCTGTGGAAGGTTTTTGACCAGTGACAGGCTTGTATTTCTGAGGTATTTACATTTCCAGGCCTCAGAGAAGTCCACATGCACAATAACGGTGGTATCATCACAGTTAGTTATCATGCTGTACTCTTTGGTTTGGTTTTTCACCAAGTGGACATGGGTGGTCGTCTCATTTTTTAGTTTGTCTTGGTAGAGAATCATAAGCTCTGATAGAGTACCAGTTGTGTTTCACCAGTTTCGTGTTGAAGTGAACTCCCTTCTGTTTGCTCCTCAATGCGCTTCCACTGCTCCCATTCCACTTGTGTTTTCCCTAGCTCTGCACAAAGACCTGTATATTTGTTTTGGAATCGAGAGCAGGTGCGTAAAAGACATGATTCACTTGCTGGAGAACAACACACAAGATGGAAACTCTCTTCAAGTTTGGTAGTTGACACAACATTGTGGGACTTCAAGCATCAACTTTGCATTCTCATGGTACTGACATCGACATGTCTTTCGATCAGAGGCTCTTGGGGGTGTGATGTAAAATGGGCGCAATGCACAGAAAGATGAATAACTAAGCCTTACATCTTGGTTCTGGTGGAGAAATGCAGTGTGAAGGTTTAGCATTGTGTCGGTCAGAATCATCCTTTGATGTTTTACTTTCTTCCTAGTGATGGTGTCTTGTTTGTCTGTAGTTATCCTTGCATTGTTTTCCAAAAACGTTTGGACATTATGGGAGATAGTCTTAAGGAATGAAGGCTTCCTTTGGTTCAGTAACTTTTCTCTCAGTGTTTTATATGTCAAGCCAAATTCATGAACCCGGTGCATCAGTCGATATTTCTTGAGAATTCTGCCAGACAACGCCAGCTGTGGATGCTGTGATGCAAGCTTGCTTCTTTTTGAGGAGCATTTCTTCTCAGCTCTGCAGTCATTGCATGGTGGAAGAGCAATGACCTTTTTATTCAAGGATTTCTGAGTCTGCTCCCTTCAATCATCTTTTCAGTCTGGGTCCGAGGCGAGTCTTGAGCATTCTTATGAGTTGTGCCTTCCTGAGTGTGCTTTATGCGTTTAAGTCGTTTTCTCAGCTTGTCAGCTTCTTTTGCCAATTTATCATGTTTGTCTGTCAATGCTTTAATCTCTCTGGAATGTCTTTTTCTGGTTTTAGCTCTCTCCCTCAAACCAGCATACAGTTGCCTGTTGCTCGTCTGCTCCTCAACGCTGATGTCTAAAGGACTCTCTGGTGGAGTATCTAAATCTTGCTGCCTTTCCTCTGCTCTTTTCTTTCGTTCTCTTGATTCTTTCTGTGCCTGTTTCCAATACTTTCTCTTTCGCCTCTTTGCTCTCTTTTCCAAATCATTGATCTTTTTAATTTTGCCCTTATCAACCCTGTTTCTCCATCTTTCCCTCTCCTTTGTCAGGAACTCCTCCTTCAGCTCAGGCTGGCTATTAAGTTTTTCTCTCCTTCTCTTTTGATACTCTCTGTTTCTTCTCTTTTGCTCCTCCACTGACAACTTCTGTCTAGCCATTCTAGCCTGAAATGCATACCATTCTGCAATCAGTTCTTTATTATGGAAACACATGCAACACTTTATTACATATCAGGTTGAGAGACAACTTCAATGAAATTCAGTTAAACACATTCAAGTAGGCTGCTGTACATCAAAACTAGTTTGAATTTGACACATGAAACTACAATAGCAATAAAATGCATAGGTGATATTATTGGTTTTAACTACATTAAAATGCTTAAATTGGACACTAAAATGGCATTAGTCAACACCATCAGAGACTGCGTCAACACCATCAGACAAACATTTTGATGGTGTTGACGTCTGATGGTGTTGACAAAATAGCACATTTCTCCATATATCACACATGATTCTCACAGGAGCCATCTTGTTTTTAACATCTGTTGGTCATGACCCAGTGAATCTATATAAATTAAGGCTATATTGCAGAAAACTTTACACAGATGTTGACTTTTAGTCATTTTGGAGTTGATACGCTATGGTTGTGACACATGCACATTAGTAAATAGATATGAAATACAAAGTATTATTAAAGACTTACCAGAGCTAAAATTTTCTCATGGCATAAGGAAGACCAGGGAGGGGAAAGGGGTCCTTTGAGATATAGCTGCCCTAAATTATCCTGATTTTTTTCCCAATTTAAAAAAGTCTGACGGTGTTGACAAAAACTCCGGACACATGTTCATTGGACCAGAAAGTACATTAAAGAAAATTCAAAATTGTTTTTTTTAATGCTTGTGTAATAAATACTATACTATTTACACCTAATAATGATAAAGTTAAATTTTATATTACTTTTTGGACTTTTTAAAGTATTATAGTGTGACGAGATCTGCTCCCGGACATGGGTTTTTCTAAGTACTGGTCACATATCATATCATTTAGAATAAAAACAAAATGTAAGACAACATCAAAACATACTTTGTTGTGCTACCCTTTTCCTGTTTAGGATTTTTATTATTATTTTTTAAATATATTTTGCATATTTTATGAACCTTTTTTTTTAGTAATTCGGCCTCGCTCTCATCTTTCTCTTTCTCCTCCGTGTTGGTCGCTTATAAGAGCGAGGCTCCTCAGCAGCAGGAGTGAAGTCTCCTCCGCCCTTTCGTCTCCGAGCAACAAGCGGAAATCTCGCGGAGCAACGAAATCTCGCGAGAAAACTTTGAAGTAGTTTAAAAAATAAAATCGATGTTCCCTTTTCCATATCAAGCATTAATTAAATATCGATCGAATCGAGCTTCACGATATATCGCCCAGCACTATGTGCAAGCACTTTGAACATTATCTGACACTGACCTCTGACCTTTGCTTCATGTTGTCTCTCTTCAGCTGTCATATCAATAATGACAAAAAGGTTAAAAAATAACAGAAAAAAAGATGATTGTGTTTTGCACACAGAATAAAAGTTTTCACTTCTGGAGACTTCAGAGGCTCCTTAAAAAAAGTCAAAATGTCAAGAATAGAATCTTCTCTCTCATGTCGGGCCCTCATCATCTTCTGGAGACAAACAATTGTTTTTAAATATTACAAGAATATATTTGGTGAAACGTCCTGATGTTAAAAGAATGTAAAGGCTATCTAATGTCTGATTGTTTTCTTCATGTACTTAGATTGATGTTTATCTCATCATGTTTACAGTTTATAATGTTTTTATTTCATATAAATATTCTTGATTTCTTCTCAAGAAAGGAGAAGTGCCACATGTGGAAACAGATCTGAAGTCTGAATTTAGAATTTAAAAATTCAAACCAGACATAAAACGATGAATCCTGATATTAAAAAATAAGAAAACAACAAAGTCATGATGTGAACTCACTAATTGATCCTAAAAATCCTGCTCCATAAGAAGCAGTCCCAACACACAGTGTAACATTGATCATGTTTTATTCCAGCAGGTGGATGTGAATGATGAAGCACAGCCTGATATCACGTTGTAACCATCAGAGCGTCATTCATCAGCAGCATAAAGAAACGTTTAGGAGCATACTTCAGCTCTGTGTTTGTCTCTACCTGACACACTCGGCTTTATAAAGTCTAAAGAAGAGATACATCCTCGTCCCACATCTTAAAGTCTCATTATATCTCAGTGTAGCAGCAACAGAATCTCATGTATTTACAGTCAAACAGCAGCTGTAGTTCAGTGAAGTACTGAGGCTTTGATTCTCCGTCAGTCGTAAAGCGCCTTTGCTCTCAATTCTTCATTCACACACTGGATCAACAGGAGAGCAAACACAAACAGGGACTTCTATTTCACACTTTCTCACATCAATCCTGTTTTTCAAAGTGTTTCTTTAAATCCTCAGTCAGAGGCTCTCTGGGATGTTCACAGGGAGACCTTTATGTTTTAAACCCTGGATTCCATTCACAGATGATATTAATGAAATGATCATGCATTAAAGCTGCAGTGTATTTAAAGCAGAGTAAACGTTAGAGGTGTAAGGATGTGTCATGAACATGCTCCTCAGGTCGTTCCAAAGTCGACGGGCTCTGATTGGAAAAAGCCCGATCTCCACGGCGTTCATTAAAATGTGAGAACAAACACCTGGTTGGATTTGATCCCTCACTCAGCTGTTTTCAAGTATGACATCATGATGGTCAAACAGATGAAATCATCTTCATGTTGGGATTAAGGCAGATTAGCTTCAATAACTTTGGAGTTCCAGAGTCAGAGGTTTGAAGGAACACGACGTGAGTCTACCTGACTTCATTCAGCTAGAAGGTCGGATTCAGTGCGGTCTTTTATGGGTTCACCTTTCTCCTCGTCTGCAGGAAGAAAAAACTAAATGATGTTCAAGAAAATCACGACTGACTGATCTGACTGAGAGAGTGAAAAACAGACTGAAGACTGAGGAGATACTGACAAGACTCTTAAAGAGAGACACACAGGTAGACTTTATGTTCTTTAACTTACCTTTACGACAACTGATGCGACCTGTGGCAAAGAGCACAGCTAGGACGATGAAAACAACCAAAAGAGCACTGAGCACTGCAACGGCAACAATCCATCCAACAACAGAACCTGAAACAGAAACAAAAAGTTTGTGTATCACTCAGAGTGTAGTTTCATATCTCACTCAGTTCAGACTGGACGTCACATTGGACACACAGAGAACAGCAGGTGTGTGTGTGTGTGTGTGTGTCTCTGTGTGTGTGTGTGTCTCTGTGTGTGTGTGTGTGTCTCTGTGTGTGTGTGTGTCTCTGTGTGTGTGTGTGTGTCTCTGTGTGTGTGTGTCTCTCTCTGTGTGTCTCTGTGTGTGTGTCTCTGTGTGTGTGTCTCTGTGTGTGTGTGTCTCTGTGTCTCTCTGTGTGTGTGTGTGTGTGTGTGTGTGTGTGCGTGTGTGTGTCTGTGTGTGTGTGTGTGTGTGTCTGTCTCTGTGTGTGTGTGTGTCTGTGTCTGTGTGTGTGTGTGTGTGTGTGTCTCTGTGTGTGTGTGTGTGTCTCTGTGTGTCTCTGTGTGTGTGTGTGTGTGTGCGTGTGTCTCTCTATGTGTGTGTGTGTGTGTGTGTGTGTGTGTGTGTGTGTGTGTGTGTGTGTGTCTCTGTGTGTGTGTGTGTGTGTGTGTGTGTGTGTGTGTCTCTGTGTGTGTGTGTGTGTGTGTGTGTCTCTGTGTGTCTCTGTGTGTGAGCAGTGTGACGTCAGCTCTGCTCTGATGCTCAGTCTCCTCCTGCTCGGCTCTCAGCCTCCTTTTGGTTTTTGGCTCTCAGCAGTGAGGAAGCTGATGTTGGAGCTTCGTCCTGTTTCTGAGACGAGCTGCTCATCAGCACCGACAAACTTTGAATCCACTTCACACTGTTTACATGTGAGCACACTCTGAGCACCCAAAGGACCATCTTCACCTCCTGCTCGTCAACATCTGGATCTTTACACACATCACATCTGGACTTCATCTCACCACTGTTTACTGCGTCACAGTTTAGAGTTTCATGATGCTTTAAACTACTTGAAGTTTATTCACCTGACACTTTGACCTGCAGGACTTTTGAATAAAGGAGTTTAACTCGTCTCAGCGTTTTTTAAAGAGCTGTTTTTATACTTTAAGGATCATTTACGGAGAGTTTTTAAACCTCTCATGATCTCAGAGACGACTGAAACTGGAACTTTAGCTCATTAAAGGATCAACAATCTTTAAATAAACACTAAAAACAGTTTGAAATGAAACTTCAGATGTGATCAGTTAAACACTGTGACTGTATGCAGCGAGATGACCTTTAAACAAGGTGCAGATCAAGCTGACAGCCCTCTAGTGGACAAACAGTGAAACAAACACACACTGGTTCTTAAAGTAAATGTGGAGCTGAAGACTTTTTTGACCTCCTGGTTTCAGATTGAAACATGTCAACATGTCTCTGATGTTTTCATGTAAAGTTTCTCTTCAAGTTCAAACTGAAATCTGGTTTAAATTGAGTTCAGTTTGTGATCCAGCAACACTCTGCTGCAGTGAAGAAAGAGCGTGTAAAGACGACGTTCACTCCAACATGTTGATCATCCAGGACTCTCTCTGTGACGTGATGAACAACATGTTTACATCGTTCATACAAACTGCACTTTAAAGTCCACATGTGTCTGTAAGGGATCAAATGATGACCAGGAACCATCATTGAACTGATTCACACTTCAAGTTTGGTCCCACTTTTTAGTCTCCCGTCAGTTTAGAGTGAAGAAATGAAAACAAACATCAATAATGAAACAGTTTGTACATGTTTGAAGTTTCCTCCTTCATGTTTGTTTCCTTCGTCTCTCACTAAACGCAGCAGCTACTTCAACATGTGGGACAATAACTCACAGATATTAGAACCACATTTCTTTCCCCTGTGGAAAATAAACGTGGCTGCTTTCTTCTGACTTCAGTCCCTGAATCGTCCTGAGACGTCTTTTCACTTGGATCCTCAGAACGAGGACACTGAAGCTGGTTTCAGATCTGATACTGGGTTTGTGTTCAACGTGAAGAAGACTGACGGAAACATTCAAAACTAACTTCACTTCTTTCTCATGTTTTCCAGCAGACTCCCTGATTCTTCCTCTTCTGTCTGCAGCTTCAGGAACTTCAGTCTGATGTTCACATATTCTCTGGAGTGGACTCTGAAGTGCTCTCGTTTGGGGCGCCGGTGGCCTAGTGGTTATTTAAACGCCCCTCATGTACGGAGGTTGTAGTCCTCCAAGCGGGCGGCCCGGGTTCAAATCCAACCTGAGGCTCCTTTCCTGTCATTCCCCTCTCTCTCTCTCTCTCTGATTTCTGACTCTATCCTCTGTCCTTTCACAATAAAAGCACAAAAATAAACCTTAAATTAAAGTTGCTCTCATTCAGCACGATAATAAAACATTTCAGACATGACTCCGCCCCCGATGATGACATCATTGCTGTCAAACAACGTCGTGAAAATCAGTGATAACAAATATTATACTGAGCGTATTTTCACAAAGTAATGAAATAAAACAAATAAATACGAGCTGTCAGCGTTAACCAGTTAATCACATTAATCTCCTGTTTGTCCCTTCAGGCTCTCCGTAGATAGTGGTCCTCAGTGTCTCCCTGTAGTCTCACTGATGGACAAGAAGAACACTGCTGCATCTTTGAACGTCTCATTTCACTTTAACAAACTCTCACACAGTAATATCCACCTGATGACATCACACATTGACCTGATGACATCACACATTGACCTGATGACATCACACATTGACCTGATGACATCACACACTGACCTTATGACATCACACACTGACCTCATGACATCACACACTGACCTCATGACATCACACATTGACCTTTGTTACCGTTCCTTTGAGCTGTTTGACCTCACTTTGGGATCTCTAACCACTTCCTGTTTCTGTGCTTAACTTCATGTCCTTATCTTCCATCTACAGGAAGCTCTTACTGTATTTCAAAATAAAAGCACACAGCAAGGAAAGCACTCTCAGCTTAAGACAGTGCAAACCTTCAAAATAAAAGCCTATCAGTTTGTATATAGGTTAAGGGACTTAGGTCTGAGCAGCTTGTGGTCCAAAGATGGCACAGGCCCTGGTCAGTATTTCTTTAATTGGTAGGAGGGGGTCCTCCTCTTGAAATCCCCTCTAAGTAGGCGGGAGAGAAAGCAGATCATAAAAGCCTAAAAAGAGCTAAAAGTGTAAAAGAGAAGAACATTAAAAGATGTCATGGTAGATTCAAAGTAAACAGATTCATTTGGTTGTGTTGAAGAGAAGGAAGCGGTCAGGTTTAGGGAGGCTGCTGGGTTCACGGTTAGCTTTAGGATTGTGGGTGAGCTTAAGAATAAAAAGCAGGGAAGAGGACGATGTGGAGATGGATGGTTAGGATTAGGGTTCAGGTAAGTGGGAAGTTGTTGTTTCTTTGTGTACAGGTGAGGTGGAGACCCTGACCCTCCTCCCCTGTGAGAGCAAAGAAAAGAATGAAATGATGCAGGTAAGTTTCTCTAACAGGTGAGTACAACAAGAAATAAATGAATTCATGAATGTCGTTAAATCATCAAAGTTCACACGGTAAAAGAGGACAGCGTTAAATCACATGCAGCTTAGTGTTCAAAGTGTTCATGGGGTAGTAATAAATCAATAAAACAAGTGCTCTATGTGTCCTCCCTGTGGTGACAAACGTCCTGATTGGTGGAGCTGGTTTGCTGACTCTGATATATACAGGTGAGTGGGAGGTGGATACGTTACAGACGCTGATGCTGTTGTATCCTGTGCTGTGAGGTTTCTCCTGGAGCGTGACGATGGAGTTGTTGTGGAGGCTGGAGGCTTTCTGGATCCTCTGTGTCGGAGCCATGAATGGAAGTTGATGGTGTGTTTGGTTTCATGGTTTGTTTACTGCTTTGTTTATTGTTTACTTCTTGTTACAGGTGGGACATGTCGTGGTGATGTCAGTGATTATATGAGCCGCACTCACCTGTTCACCTGGTTTAGTCTCAGATGGAGAGAGGGGCTGAGCGTGGGAGCAGAACATTTCTGTTGAGCGCCACACTACACTGCACTGCCATCACAAGTTGATTTTACCACCCGGTAACTGCAGTTGTAGTTTCTTGTGTTTTGTAGAATAAATGACTAAAGCATCTTGGATCTGGAAGTCATTCATAACGACGTCACAGCTTCACTCCCGTCTTTAGTCCCTCGCTGCACTCTTTTCTTTGACGACCTGCAAAGGCCGATATAGACGCAATACTCTGTGTGTCCTGATCAAGCTTTAAATAAAGTGCTAAGATCATGCTGTCAATAAATAAAGGAAAGTAAAAGACACACAAAACAACATGCACAAAGTCATCCATTCATTAAAACAAGATGAAAACATTTCAAACTAGTTTTTGTTTGATCTAAAACTCCATAGATGTGAAACAATCCCTCTCACTGTCCTTCCACCTTTTGGACACCAGGTGGCAGCATTGCACCGTGGATAAAAGCAGGTAGGGGAAACCGTGTTGTTGTTGGTGCACCAGCAGGTGGCGGTATTTCCCCGTTTTCCTTGTTGGCTGCAGTTAAAAGCAGAGAAACCAAACAACTGTCCTTCCGTCTTCTGAGCAGGAGATGGCGGCCTGAATCAAAGTTTTTCATTTGGGCCGTTTGGTTTCTTTCTTTTCAATCATTTGATGAACGTGGTTTCCATTCTGAGGCGTTGACTTCTGGACCAGTTTGTGTTGCTTTTGATGCCTTCTGTTTTCAGATGGTCTGCTCCACGTCTTCTGAAGTGCATGTAAACGGCCGGATTTTCTTTGCCTTTGTTTCTTTGGTAGATTTGTGGTCTCAATCTGTATTTCAGCTGCTTGTTTGTTTCTCCCACATACATGATATTACAGGTTGAACATGTTACTGCATAGGGTTAGAGTTAGGGTTACACACGGGATTCAAAATGTCTTTAATCACCACTAACTTTTGAAATGTAGCGATTAATGGAGATTCAAAATGTTGCTGGTTGGACAGCCCTCACATAAATATAAAATGCTGAATTATGAATAAATAATGAAACATCTTTTCAGACTGGTGGTCTCCTGCCGTTCATCATCATCAGGACAAACTAACGTTACTCTGTAGTTCATCTTTATTAGGAGGAGAATATGTGACCTTTAAACACAACCTTCAGTTTCTGTTTGAAGCCTTAAATGTAGATTCAGGATATTTAGAGCGAGGAGTCTCAGGAAACGTGGGATTAAAACTCTGAAACATTCTGAATAAACTTCCTCCTGTCTCATCAGATCAGCTTTAGAGTTGAAACTATGAAAAGATCTCACCGTTGATGTGAACGTAGGTCTCTGCCTCAGTGTGGTGTTTGATCTGGTCCTGTGTGACCACACAGCTGTAGTGGTCGGTCTTGGTCACAGTGGTTTGGAGGATGATGTCGTAGCTGCCTCCTCTTTCTGTGACCTGTGCTTCTTTAGCATGAAGGATGTTTCCAGAACTGTCCCTCCACTCCACTTTAGGTCGAGGAGAAGCTCCTCTGACTAAACACTGCAGCAGAGACCAGTCCTTTGATTGGTCGAGTGTGGTGACAGACGGCTCTGAAGCAGCACCTGTGGACACGGAGGAAACAAAAGATTTCATCAGAAAGCTGCAGAATAGATGTTTCAGATTAAAGCATGTGGAGGTAGATAAGTAAAGTATCACAAAGAAGAAGACAAGCAATATATTTAAAAGACATTCTGAATATTAACATGACATGAAATAAACATTTAGTATTGTGGAGTAAAGACTTCATAATAAGAGAGTGAATTTAAACTCCCTCTGGGTTTGTTGTTCTCAGCTCTGAGTTCACAAATACGGGACTGCCATGTTTCCTTCAGCAGTATTTCTGTCTCTTTTGGAGGGAACCCCTCCCTGTCCAACCGTACGCCCTGCCACCACCTGGAGGAGGAAGGACGGCCCTGAAGTCAGAACTCCAACTCTGGAAACTCGGAGCGACCTCAGTAGCCCGAGCTAAAATCCAACATGGCTGCTGCGTGCATCTACAGTAACGTTTAAGCTGAAACTGATGTAATGAAATCAATCACACCGATGGTATCGTGGAAGTTCTCTCTGTGGACATGTGGTCATGTGACGTTCAGACACAAACTATCACGTAGTGTGTTGTTATCAAACTAAAGAACTGCTGGAGGCGTCCATGTTGCTGGTCAAACTGGTTTTCAAACTGGTCATGGGAACGCGCTCAACTCGGGTGTGACGTCAATCCTAGCTCGGACATTCGACTTGAGAGGTAAATGGAACGCACCAGAAGTCGTACTACCATGTTGAAGAGGAGTCACAGCCCCCCCCCCCTCCAAGAGCCGTGTCTGGGTGGATTAAAACGAGGGCGTCGTTGCAAAAGAACGACGGCAGGAGAACCAATGACGTGCGGCTCTGAAGCTGCTCCTGTGGACACGGAGGAAACAAAGGTTCATGGAAAGAAGATTTCACATCCCTTCATGTATCTCCACTTCTCTTCTTTTATATTCCTCTACTGTACACGCCTTAGTTTATCTCAGCCTGTCACATGCTAAGTCCCGCCTCCTGGGAATGGCTGTAGGCCAAAACAGCTGTCAATCACTCCCTCCCAGCAGACGTGGGTTGTGTCTCCGTTGATCAGAAGCCGTTCAGGACGACGAGTGAGCCGTCTCTAAGTTGAGGTTAAAGGTCATGTAGCCCTTCATGATTGGACAGTGAGAATGTGTGAGCGTCCATGGAGATGTAAGCGCTCTTTTCATCTCATACGGCTCTAAAGTGGAACATATGTGATGTGATTCTTGTTGGTTTTTCTGCTGCTATTGATATAAAAACATCTGAATACTACTAATATCATTTACTCTTATTTCTAATGTTAGTTATATGTCTACATCGGGGGCGGCTGTGGGTCAGTGGGCGAGTCGGTCGTCTCTCAACTGGAAGGTCGGGGGTTCGATCCCCAGCTCCTGCAGCCACATGTCCCATGTGTCCTCGGGCGAGACGCTTAACCTCAAGTTGCTCCCTCTGCTTCGTCGGCGGCGTGTGAATGTGTCTGAATGGATGAGTTAATCCTCTTTACCCAGCAGCCTCAGTATGACATCATCAGGTGTGACATCACCTGGAGCTCTGACCTCAGTCACAAACATACGATCACATCGACACATTTCAAACAAAGTGGACACAAACTGAACTTTAGAAAGTCGCTGGAGGTAGAGTTGATGTCTTTCCTGTCGTGTTGAATCGTGTTCCATCGTGTTCCTCGTCTCTTCTGTGACGCTGATCTGATACGGCGAGCTGCACGTGGAGGAACACGGACGCTGTGCGCTTTTAAAGAAAGTAGTCCCCGAGGAAAAGGCGGTCTGATGGAGAGGTGTAAATATTGACAAACACAGCGGACACTCAGGTTTCTGTGTTTTTCTTGAAGGTGGGACTTTTAGTGAAGCTGCTCGAGTATGTTTTCATCTCCTGCAGGTAACACGCCGTGTGGTCATAAGAAGGTCAAACGAGCACACGGTCAAACTGTGTACTGTCCCTTTAAGGCCTTTAGTGACCTCCATGGATCAAATGATTAAAGGGACGATCAGTGCATGTGTTTGGAGCTAAAGGAGGCTCCTAGTTATACTCTGTTTTAATGATCATGTCGGCCTCAGTAGATTCAGCTCGGACATGTTTCACATTATTAACACGTCGTCTCTTCTCACTCACTGAAACGTCTCCGATTCCTGTGACGGCACGCCGCTCCTTACAAATGTGTGTGTGTGTGTTTCTGAATGTGTGTGTGTGTTTGTGTGTGAAATCTTTCCTCCATCATAACTAACGACTGACTCGTTTCAGAGCACTGATTCAGTCTGAAGTCACGTCTGAGTGCAGCTCTCAGTCAGGAGCTCTTTGGTGAGCAGGTAACATCTGCAGCAGCGTCCAATCAGAGAGCAGCAACACGGTAACCATGGAGATGAATCCAGCAGGACCAGCTGCAGTAAAAACTGTCAAGTAAATAAGTTTGAGTTGAAGGTGTGAAACATTAAAGTGAGCTCCTGATCCTGTGTGAAGGAGCAGCAGGTGTTGTTTAGTTTTGCTCTTTTAGATTCATGTCTGCAGGAATGTTTTAGTTTGAAGATAAAAAGAGTTCATGATGTTCACACAGAGACCAGATATGATGACCTACACACAGAAACACATCATGAAGAGTTAGAATTAACACCTGAATGTATTTTTAGTCATAAACTATTCAGTAAATAATCTTCCTCACTTCATTTCGATTCTTTTTGAATTATTTCTGACCTCCTCTTCGCTCTGGTCATTTCTTTTGTTTTCTGAACTAAATAGTTTCTTCAGTTTGTTCCATCAGCTGCTCAGTTAAACCTGGTGGTTAGTGTGAGGTGATCATTTCAACAACAAGCTCAAACGTCTTTAAGAACTCGTCTTTGTGTTGTGAACACTTTTAATGTAGAGATGCAGAATTAACATTTGGAAGCCCACAAGAATGGAAATTGAAAAGTAAACAAACGCCATAGAACGAGAAAAAGGTAGAGACGGATAAAAAGCAGGAAGGTGAAACCACGCTCTATTTAAAGCCTACAGGAAAAGAATATATAAAAAACTAAAGCAGATTCAGAACTCTACTGCACATCTGTTAACAACAACCAGAGAGACAGAGAGCACATGCTGCATTGTTGGAATGTTTTTCACTCGTTGCAGTGATTGGCTGGTACTGAAGGTTCCCGAGCTTTTTCATTCGCTGCTCCTGATTCCTGGAATGTCATCCAACACATTTTTAAAATGAAGGCTCTGCCCTCATATGCAGCCTTTAAGACCACAGTAACGGACCATTGTGCATCAAGTTGTTCTTTGTTTAAACTGATTTGTTTTTCTTTTTTACTCGCTTTTATTTGTGTCCCCAGTTTAATGCTGTGAGCTCGACATCACTGTGAATGAGGGAAAGCTGAGTGAATTGAATTATATAAGATAAACTTATTTATCCCACAACAAAGACATTTACATTTATATTAAGAAGAACTTTTCATAATGAGTTCAGTAAATAAACATAAAATAAAAATACTTATGCCACATGATGTCGTGTTGTCATGGTTACAGATAAGTCGCAAAGTGCTGTCCGGTTGGTATTAAACCATTTAGAGCCCTCACAGCCTCGTGCTCTCAATCACTTTCCAGGTGACGTAAATAAAGTCCGTAAAGGTTCAGGGTTTAGGGAGGACATCGAGATTCAAGTGAGGCAATCAGCAAACTGTTGAACTAACAAAACAGAGACAATGAATACATCAACCACTAGAGGGCGACAGACACTCCAGGAAGCAGACTGTCTCCTGAAGAAGGAGCTGACCCGAGTGTGGACCTCTCTCTTTTTTATTAATATTATAAATTATTATTTTTAATATCATAAATTATTATCATTAATATCATTAATTATTATTATTAATATCATAAATTATTATTATTAATATTATTATTAATATCATTAATTATTATCATTAACATCATTAATTATTATTATTAATATTATTATTAATATCATAAATTATTATTATTAATATTATTATTAATATCATTAATTATTATCATTAATATCATTAATTATTATTATCATTAATTATTAATATCATTAATATCTTTCATTAATATCATTAATTATCGTGTTAGCAATATTTTATATGAAATAACATCCATCAGTGTTTTAAGGATAGATTCGAGTGTTCGATCTGCTCTCTTTATTGGACAGGACGGGGACAGAGTGGGAAACAGAGATGATGAGTGGGGAACGACATGCCGGAAAGCAACCACAGGTCGGAATCGAACCCGGGCCGCCCGCTTAGAGGACTACAGCCTCCGTACATGAGGAACGACCTCCACACAGTTACTAGTTAGTGTGAGGTAAAGAAGCTTACAACAAGGTGAAGTGAATAACTCCTTTTTGTGAGGTTAGCCTTTTTAAAAGGAATAACTCAAAGTTAGTTTGTTATGGTTTAAATATTACTTCCTGTTTTAGATACCATGAGAGTTCTGGAGTCTCTCTCGTTCTTCTTTTGTTCTCTTTATATTTATTTATTAAATGGCGTCTTAGAGTCACAGTAATACTGAACATTTACTTTACATGAGAACAGAAGAGCACACTGTTTTCATATTAAAGCATCAACAGAAAGATTCTTACCACCCAGAGGAACGTAGGTCTCAGCATAGATTTGATGGTTGATCTCGTCCTGTGTCGATAAACATCGGAAACGTCCGGTCTTGGTCACAGTGGTTTGGAGGATGATGTCGTAGCTGCCTCCTCTTTCTGTGACCTGTGCTTCTTTAGCATGAAGGATGTTTCCAGAACTGTCCCTCCACTCCACTTTGGGTCGAGGAGAAGCTCCTCTGACTAAACACTGCAGCACCACCCCATCCTTCGTTTCATTAAGTGTACTAACATAAGGCTCTGGGCTGCTCCTGTGAACACAGAGTAAACAGTAAGTGACTGAAGTGGAATCACAGCAGGACAAATATAACAACACAAGTTAAACTCACACCTCTCTGTTCACATAACATTGAACTGCTTAACGGTCTCTGCAGGCATTTGGAAAATGCTTCAAACTTG